GCTATTCGAAATCCTACCGATTGACCGAATTCAGATATTCCAATACGACCCCAAATACTGTTCCCAAATCTCCAATATATCAGAACACAACACCGTTAGATGAAGTTGTTTATGGGGTCGAGTACAGAAGGAGTGAATGAAGGAATAAAAAGCTTTACAGATAATGCAATTAGGTCGAATAGGAAACAACATTGAAGTCTGTGACGTTGACAGTTAGGATGACCATAATATTGACCAGTAGGAATCGACCAATATAATGAGACTTACAAAAATGATTCTCTTAGGATATTTGATGAATATCCTAACAGAATGACACTGAAACTTTTGGACTATTATATTTACAGTTTCAAGTGTAGTACTATGATAAATAATCATAAAAATAAAATGTAAAAACTATTCATATCTCAAGTTTATAAATTTGCTTATCGGCTTAGTGAACTCTAAATCATTTTAAACATAGTATTATCCATTTTAACTAAATGATAAATGAAAGTTTGAATTTGCTCTGTTACAAATTATAAATAAGAGATAAGAAAACTTACATAATTGTTGTCAGTTAGATCGCCATCAGGCTTTACTCTAATGTATATGGATATTTTTATATGAAAATGTAGATAGCAATATCCTGCATGAGAGATTGACGGAAGTACTTAGTGGGATATTCTGTGCAGCCAATCTTGAGTTGACTTTCGCGAGTCGACCAGTGATGTCTATTCAAACGGAAGATGAGTCACCTGAAGTGGTCTCCTCAATGTGTATTCACTAATTAAGCCGCTCCTGTGCAGATAAGCTATATGAGCTTACTACGAGGCAACTTAACAAACGGATAAGTGAACATCTCCCAGCATGGGCTGGAAAGGGCCAGATAAAGACAATACTCAGCTCTATCCTGGCATATCTGATCGACAGCGGTCATAATATAAATAAATCTGAATCATTTAGAGTGATCTATCGCATACCTCCATCATTTCCCAACGGAGTTCGATCCTGTTCCCTGAATACATGAGGAACTATTTATACGTTCATAAGAAATTCATAACATCCCCTGTCCTTACCTTGGCTGAATATAACTCAATAAACGATTTTAAAAAATTTGTTAATTATCGTTAGCGCTATTTTCCACATTCTGCATATGACAGTAATTTGTCGCCTCTTACTGTTTACATTCTTCACTATCTAATTATATACACACTTCTTATTACATAATTGTAATAATGTTTAGTGATGATTATCTCAAGTCTATTTATCCACGTTTGATCTGCTACTACCTCTAATGTTGAACAATTGACAAAAACTTTTGTTAACATATTTTATCATTCTTACTAGTATAAGTATACCTGACTTCCTATTATCAACTCGTACTTTTATCTATTATGTATAGTTACGTAATCTCTATTTCATTGTGATTATTGACTCATAATGAATTGCCTTGATTCGGTTTAACATTTTCATATAAATATTCATGTATATTAGAGAGTAAAAAGCCTTATGATGATGACCTAACTAAAAAACAACATTAATTGTTCAATTATTTAACTGTGTTGTTCCTAATAATTCACAATGGTAATCCTTAGTATAAATAATTTTTCTTCGTCGAAGAATAGATTTTAGAATTTGTTTTTTCATTACCGGGTTGTGAAGATTGGTAAGGTACACATTTGAAATCATGAATCGATCAAAGTTAAACCACCATTAGAAACCTGGAAGCACTGGACGGCCGTTTCACCCTGGTATGGGACTCATCAGCATGTGCACACTAGTGACTAGCTCCGTCAGTCAGACAGTCAAATGCAACCTAGAACTTTGTACGTATGTACATCAGTTCATGTTGCCATACTAAATTAGCACAGAGATGTAATTGTCAAATCAAATCCAATAGTAGTAGAGGTAGTTAAGGTATTAGAAGTAATCGGAGAGATTAGGGTTCGAAGATGTTATTCAAGGAGGATAATTCAGTGAGGCAAATTTAGAAAGAGAAAGATAGAGGTGACGAGTAAATCAGAAGGTAAGAATTTCATAGAATACAAAGAATAAATGTACCTGCACCATTGCGAACGGTTTTGAGCCACGTTATTCAGGGTCTCTAACCATCGATTATTATGATCTCGCAGACCCCAGCCAGGAAGTCTAAAACTACCGACATGACTCAGTCCACTTGTCAGTGACTTCATCGATTTCTGCCATGTTTTGGTAAACTAGCTCCGTGAGGAATCTTCATCGAGTTCTAGTGGGAAGTCGTGGCCAGTAAAGTTCAACCTGTTCAGGTGTAGACAGTAACTACCGAAGACAGTGTTCTAGGTTGCGCAACTCCGTGAATTGATTAAAGTTAGACATTAACACTGATAATCGCCGCCTCAGTGGTCTAGAGGTTAGGCGTTCGAGCACATGACCGAACGTCCTGGGTTCAAATTCTGCGAGGTGCAGGAGTCGTGGATGCGCACTGCCATTGACTAGTCCCATAACAGGACGAAACGGCTGTCCACTGCTTCGAGGTTTCTAATGGTAGTCTAAAATTGATCGATTCATGATTTAAGATTTGTTTATTCCCGAGTCAATGGAATTATGTACGAAATAATTCACAAGTGTACCTTAGAGGGTTTCAATTGACTTTTTATATCTGCTGATATAAATTGATAATGATATATGTAAAATAACTTTTTTCTCAAAAAAACACTGTGTTCGAGAAGATGAACATATTGTTGATAACTTACTAACAAAGGGAAATTATTTACACAACAAGATCACAAGATTGAATGTGATATGATCGACAATCACTTAGATGAATGATTAAAAAATATAGTGTAATTGTAATCAGAAGACTTTCATAAAATTTGTCTAAACAAATTGGTCATTAACAATAACATCTATTAACTAGTACACTTTTGATCAAACGATTGTCATACATTTTTCATTGAAATCACGTGTCATCAATAATTGTGTTTTGGTGTTTTTTACTTTTTATTTACTATAATATGAAAAAAGGATTATAGTTCTGAGAAAACTTAAAACAACTATCAACTAATAATAAAGTCAAATTTTTTTCCAATACAAATGTCAAGATAGTTTTATTGTATGAAAGCGGAAACTTGAAGCTATCATCCGGAAGATAGAAGTGTTTATTAACAGTTGTTTACTGAGGATCCGCTAATCAGACACCACCGGTAACAACCTATGGTGTTTGGAAACAAACCAGATTCTAGCAGAGGAAGAAAGCAAGAAGAAACGCTGGAGGTAAGCACACAACTGCATCACAGGACCTTGGAATCCTCAACGTCATAGGAAACAATGAAGAACAAAGTACATATAGCACCGAGAACTGGAGGCAGATATGAAAACAATGAACAGCAATTAGATAGAAATGGAAATGAATGCTTAGGACGGAGTAGATTGGAGAATGATAGTTAGGGGCCTATGATCCATTAGAGGTAACAAGCGTAAGTAAGTAATAGTTTAGAGACTTTTGTTGTTTGTCCTTTGAGCATAGTGACGGGATAGGTTTATCTCATTTTTCACAACTTATGTTTTTACTGTGTGTACTAATTGTTAGGATATTCATCTAATATCCTAAAAGAATTACTTGCACGTCTAATTTTATTGGTCAGTTCCTATTGGTCGACCCAACTTTTAATGTTACATACTCCGGTGTTGGTTCCTATTCGACCAAAGTGTATAGAAATGCGTTATCTGTAACGTTTTTATGACCCAGATCCTTAAGCCGGGATCCTCATTCTCTTCTGGACTCGCACCTCGTACTTCCTGAATGTTTGTAGAATACATGTTCTACTTCATATCAAGTCTTCTTCTTTACTCAACCGGGGTTTGGGACAATCGGATTAGAGTAGCTTGTCGTGTCGCTAGACCGTCGATCTGAGGTAAACTCGTAATAGTTCAAGCATATCAAATGACGTGTTTACGTGCATGCGTAACACTAATATATTAAGCCCACATAGCTTGTCCTAACTATTATACAAACTAATTGACCTCAGTGTGTATGTGAATGCTTACTTCACTTATTAGAAGTTCAGCTTATCTTTACCTGACTATAAATACTTATCCATGCTCCATTGCTCTCCTTCTTCACTCCTCTTCACTTCGCCTTTATGTTCTATATCCTCATGTCTGTCTGCATGAACAATTGCATGAAATAAATTCATCCGCAAAACTGTATTTGGCTTCTTATTATTGCCGCCACACAAACAAGGTTTGCTTGAGTATGATATACAGAAATGGATAGGCCCTCGCACTTACAGTGTATCCTTATAATCAACTATCTGATAACTGACTTAACTGTAATTTTGAAACTACAATTGAGTATTCAAATTTAGATAGAGAAGATCAATACTTAAGAATAAAACAGCCTTTATGTATCGAGACTGATTACATAACCATAGAACTCCTCGGTAGTGAAAATCCACAATCCCACTATAAGGAATCGAACCCAATACATACAATCTCCTACTCAAATGCTTGATTTTTACACCACTACACCAGAATTCAATGATTTACATTTCTAGCTTCAAATGATTCATGATACTGCTAGATCAGCTTCGATCGTCTCTATTCCATATCTGTCTTACATTCTATTTGTGGATAATTGGAATTCCAGCTTTTCTATTGGACAATAATACATCACACAAATCGTTTCATTTGTAATTTAAAATTGAATTCTAGAATATTCTTAACACAATAAATACATGATAAAGCAGAAAAAACAGACCCACAATCTCAAAGTAGATATGACCTTGAATGTAGATAATTAGACACACACAGACACACACAAACACACACACAAACAGATATTATAATAAGCATAAAAATTAATATTCAAATGCTGAGATACATTTAATTTCAAGTTTAGTATTCATACAATAATAATAATAATATTGAACAAATAAATATTGAATTGAAAACTGAACAACACGAATAAATAAACACAATAAAAATATAATGTACATATTTTAAATTTGGAATTATTTAAAAAATTTTTTGTGATTTATCATTGGAATTAAAAGGAAATTTCATTAGTTTCATTATTTATTTGTACAAAACATTTGATTTAACTTTCAATGTTCAATAATTCGTTTGTCAATGATTGGATTTAAATGAAACAAAACACGAAAGTAAGTTGACAAAAAAAGAGAGAAGATACATGTTTTTTAAAAAAACTGATTCTGTATTTTGATGTATTATATAATTTTTGGAGCAATATTTAAAATTTGTAAATGTTTTTGTTTTAATATTTGATTTTACTTGTATTAATCATGAAGTTATATATTACTTAATTACGCTTGTTACCCCACCGTCTGGCATCCTTTTACTTTCTAAGTCATGGGAGTTACTTTCCAAGTCCAACCCAATCACTATTCATTTGTTACATATCTACCTTCGGTTCTTGGTCTTCCTTTCCTTCTTTGAGCTTAAGGGTTTCCAAGTGAGGGATTGGCTCGTGATACAATTTGGTGCTTTCCTGAATGTGTGTCCATATCTTCCGGATGACGGCCTTCACGGTTCTCCCAGTTTCCACCCCGTATAGTAGAAGTAACTTGATGTTTTCATTTTGGTGATTCTGAGCTGGAAGCACTGGACGGCCGTTTCGTGCTGGTATGGTACTCACCAGTTGCAGTGCGTACCCACGACTACAGCTAATCACAGGATTCGAACTCAGGATCATTGGTCTTGAGCGCAACCGCTTAACCTCTAGACCACTGAGCCGTTATCCAATTGTGTTGATGTCTAACTCTGATCAATCTAAGGTTTTTGCAAAACCTCTTGATTCACAGAACTTGTACATTTCTCTGATCATACTCACTACTGATTTTTTCATTACGTAATCCTATTCTTATTACTAATACAAAATCAAATCAAGAAAAGAAACTTATTTTCACAATCATAAACCCCTAAAGAGTAAACCGAAATTCAAAATTTCTACTTTGAGTATCATCCTCATCTTAAGCAAAATGAAACATGTATATATCAAATCAAAAAGATTTGTTGAGATCATAAAATTTTCATTGTGTATGATTTCACAATATCTCGAATTGATTAAAGTTAACCATGTATATCATTAGATGCCGATTGATTGGTGTAGAGGTTAAACTTCTCTATTGAAGATGAGACATTCTGAATTAGATTCCTTGTGGTAGGTTTATGAAATGATGAAGAAAATTTGTAGCTCAAATAAATGATTATAAGTGAAGTTTTATTCTCTGAGCTGAATGTTTTGATTATGAATGCAAAGTTTTATATAGTATTTCCTGACTTTTTAATGTTATTTAAGTGAAGATTATTTCGTGATTTAAGCTATAAGAATATTTGCTTAAACTGATAAGTAACAAAATAAGTTTAATAGAAGTTTTGATTATTCAGTCTCGATTCCACTTTCGGTATATTTGTGTGCATGTTTACATATATATTGAAATGTAGAGAGAGATTTTCCAGTAGTATTCAAAGGGGATCGAGCTGAAGATACTTAATCTCATAGAGAATGTTTAGTATATATCTTGAAAAGGTAATCCCAAAATCTTAGTGAAAAGTCGTAACCAGTGGAGTTTACCTGACGTTGGATATGAAGAAGTTACACTTCAAAGACAATGAGAGATCTTATTAATTGAAGTTAGACATATACAACATTGAATACCAGTTAAGTTGTTTTGGAAGTTAAGCGTTCTTGTAAAAGATTAAAGGTCATGAGTTCGATTCCCTATGATATTATAGTGAATACAATTTTATATTACAAATTTTGATGCTAGAAATAGACAGATGTTCAGTACTTCTTGATTCTAACATAAATTGGTTCAAGATATTAATTAACATTCAATCATCAAACAATAAATGACATTTCTGATTATTATTTATCGAACTTTAGTACAACCAAATAAAAATCAATAATTACTTTGCTTACTTGCTTTACTTAAGCCTATTACTCCCCGATGGAGCATAGGCCGCCGATCAGTTTTCTCCAACCTATTCTGTCCTTCGGCCTCCCTTCGCAGTTCTGTCCAATTAGTGTTCATTCATCTCATGTCTGTCTCCATTTCTTGCCATAATGTGTTCTTTAATCTCCCTCTTTTCTTTTGACCTTGAGAATCTCAGGTGAGGGCTTGTCTTGTGATGCAGTTAGGTGCTTTCTGAAATATGTGTCCTATCCACTTCCAGCGCTTCTTCTTAATTTCTTCTTCCACTGGAAACTAAAACTCAATGACATTCCCTTTTTTATTCTAGAAAAAATTTATCCAGACAAAAAGAAGTTATTTCTCATTGTCTAACTTCGATGAATCCATGGTATTTCTCTACTTCATCTACTGTCCTCGGTTGTTACGGCCTACTACAGTCGACAGAGCTGAACTCTTTTGGGGCAGAGTTTTGGAGGTTTGCGTTTTTACACATTTGAAATCATCAATCAATCATTGTTAGACCACCATTAGAAACCTGGAAGTACTGGACGGCCGTTTCGTCCTGGTATGGGACTCATCAGCAGTGCGGATCCACGACTCCTGCTCCTGCGATTGATTGATGATTTCAAATGTGTAAAGAGTTGAACTCCACTGATCACAGCTTCTTACTAGAATTCTGAGAATTTCTTCACAAACCTAGTCACTAGTGAACACATGCTTATGATTTTTACATAACACAATTATTGAAATCGTTGTTTGACATTGAAATCCAATACTACCAGATTTCTAATGATAGTCTAACAATGAATGATTCATTTATCAATTTTATTATAAACGTCTTCGTTTTCATTGATTATTTTATGATATAATTGATAAATGAGAACAAAAAAACAATTATACAACTTTTCTGTTTATTTTTTATAGTGTTTTTAATTTGTATTTGAAAACAAACAAACAAACATTTTGACCTGAAATAATAAAAAAATTCACTGTATATACTACAAACTAATTTGGCTCATTCAGATTCTAATATATATGTATGTAATATATCTTTTTCACGAGCTAGTATAAACCAATTGATTTCTTTGCGCTTGATTCTTACAGTACGGTTTCAGGTATTTTGTAATGTCCAATGAATGGGGATCTAGCCACTTGACTGCACTAAGTCTAGTCAGTTGACAGCTGGTTGTGAGTTTGTGTGTCTCGTGCAGTAAAGTTTGTGGATACTAGCAGCTATCACATTACCAGATAGGAGATCAGTTAGTTGTAATGTGGAGAATAATAAGGATAGAACCTGAGTATTAGCTCTTTGATGTGCAATTTTTCACAGATTGCGTCCAGGAGAGTGGTGGTGATGCATCGGTAAGAAGCTCACGTTAGGATGGTTCGGCGAACTCAATATATTGCACGCCATAATCAGATAACCTCTGATTCTCCTGTAACCCAGTGGGAATAAACCCAAGTGCTGGAGTCTGTCATCGTAAGGTTTATTTTTCAAACCTATCACCCATTTCGTTGCTCGTATCTGCACTCGATCTAAGAGATTTATGTCTCTTTTAAGCATAGAGGGTGCGATGACGTTGTGAACCTCCAGGTGTGGGCGCGCGTATGTCTTAAATAATGTTAAGAATAACTGTGGGGTGATAGCACCAAGTTGTCTTCGTATAAAGTAAAGAGTCACATTTGCCTTGGCTGCGTCCCCTATATTTTGACAGGTTCATTTAAACAGAGCATGACTCTATTTTTTTGGTATTGAATAAAACTTATTATGATTTCTGAAGAAATTCATGTTTTTTTTAAAAAAAAATGTATTGACCCTTGATGATGATGCTTCTCATTGAAATCATGAACCGATCAATGTTAGACTATGATTAGTAATAAAAACATGGAAGCATTGGATGGCCCTTTCATTCTAGTATGGGACTCATTCATAGTGCACACATCCATGACCTCTGCATTCTAGGAAACGAACCCAGGCGCTTCAGTGTTTCACGAACCAACTACTTAACCTCTAGACCAATGAGTTGGCATTCAATGATATTGAACATTTAACTTCAATCAATTGCATGTTGTTGCACATGATCTTACCTATTTGTTTTGATTTCAAAGAAAAACATTGCGAAGCGGTGAAAAATTCAAATGATCATCATTTCTCTTCTTTAATCAACATTAGATTAGAGTAAATTCTTTCACTAAAAGTTTTTTTTCTATAAATCATGTAATGTTTTTATTTAGTGAAGATTGAAATAAACAAAAACTCACAGGTGTTATGTTATGTTTAAATTTCCAGATCTAATCGTAACACATGCTAACCACTTTAAAAAAGGGTTATTTGTGTAAGAAGATATGACTGGCATAGGAAGTCTATTTAACTACCGTTTACTAAATACACATACTCTCCCTTTCTCTCTACTTATATGTATATACATTCCACGTCCTCAGAAAAGGTTATTCGTTCTTTAGCAAATGTTCTATCTGGGAGTCTCATCAGTGCCGATGGCCTGGTGACTAACGAAATCTCAGCACGGATACAGAAGGTTCGATTGGCTTTTACCAACCTACGTCATTTATGGCGTCAGCGAGATATCCGATTGCTGACTAAAGGACGGGTGTACTGTGCAGTAGTTCGCTCCATCCTACTTTATGGCTGTGAAACATGGACAGTGAGAATAGAGGATAATCTTAGGTTACTGATTTTCGATCATAGGTGTCTTCGAAGCATTGCTCGTGTATCATGAGAAAACCGAGTAAGCAATGCTAAAGTTAGAAAGCGAGTACTAGGTAAGGATAGCAAATCAATAGATGAAATGGTGAAACTTCATCAGTTAGGTGGTCAGGACATTTTTTACGTATGTCTAACCACCGGCTGTCTAGACGAGCTATGTTTTGTGGTGTAGGGGTAGGTTGAAAGGAAGCTAGGGGTGGCCAGACCAAAACATGGCAGAAATCCATGAAGTCACTGACTATTGCACTGAGTCATGTTGGTAGATGTAGATGAAGGTCACGTTGCTATTGATTGATTGATTCACATGTTCTATTCATCATTCACTGCTCATTTTATTTGGCCATTTCTGATCGGCTGACGATAACAAAAAGGGTTAGGCGCAAATTTCTAACTGATTACTTAACATGTGCAGATTATATTTCGGTAATCAATATCGTGTTATTGATAATAGAAAATATTATTACATGAATTAAATATTTTTTTGGAAAATTAATTAAAAACT